GATCAGGTCCCCTAAGAAGATTGTCACTGGGCGCACGCTGATCGCCCCACATCTCCGCCCAGTCAATCACGGTATAAGCCGCGCCCACACCTCGGAAGCCCAATCGGCTCATCGCTTCCGTTACACGCGCGGTGCATCGCGGTTCTGACTGAGTATCAGACCCTTCGCGCCTCTCCGAGTCAGCCACCCCATATGCACCGCCGCGAGGCCGCCGGATAATCAGACCCCACGCGCACCAGCGCTAGGCTGGCCACTCCCAGACGCAATGATCCCCTCGTCGGGTCCCAAGTCATCATCGACGTCGAGCGACGGCGACGCCGCCGAAACTACATCACCACCGTCGGCTCCGCCGTCGTCCCCATGCCCAGAATCATCCAGATCCAGCGAAGGATCGGTAGAAACACGTGAAAAAGAAGAGGGATTACCTTCTTCGCCCTGCACGACCTCGGTCTCGTTGATGTTGGTGCTATCCATTATAATACTTCGAATCAGCAACAGCAAGATGAGAATCGAGGTTGTAGAAGAAGGAGAGGAATCCCAGAGACGGCAAGAAAGCACAAAGAAACAGACGAAATTTTCCTTTTACGAGAGCAAAGTGAGTTCCGACTTCTGGGCAGAGAGGGGGTATTTATACTCGACAATGGAAAGCTGAAGGGTTAAAGTTGCATCGAGAATCGCAACCGTCAGAGCCTTTTCAAATTTCAAAACGGCCGCCAAAACCGACCAACCGCACACAGACACGTGGCAACCTACCATTCCTAGGCACTAGCCGCTGACGTCATAGGTTCCGCACAGCGCCTGGGGGGCAGGATACGCCCACAAAGGAAAAAAACACGCTCAAAAATAATACCAACTAGGAAAGCGTCACGCACAACCAACCCAGGAGATCTCGGACACTCGCGGAACATTACCGCTGGGGGGCAACGCAAAAACAGAGGCTTCACCCGAAACCACCCCAGGGGATCTCGGACACTCGCGGAACATAACCGATGGGGGCAACGCGAAGATGGCGCGCGCAACCAATCCCGGAGATCTCGGACGAGCGGGAATCGGGCGAAGGAAACACCAATTGTACGCGCCACCGACGATCACGCGAAGACCAGACCAGACACTAACTTACCCATATCGCGTCAATCATAATCAACAGGCGGAATCGCGCGGATCCGAGTCGCTCGCATGAAGATCAAACAGGCGGCATTCGCAGAATACCCCCTGATGGGGGGCAATTGTTGGGGATGTGACTCGGATCTCAGCACGCCGAAGAAATACCCAAGGATGCTCACGTCAAAGACAACGCGCGAGTCGCGCCAGGGGAAAGCGCGAGTGCAGAGACTGCCCCTAAAGACCGCGCACAAACGCCAAACGACGGCACTTTGGACAAGCGCGGGCCCTCACCGAGAAGTTGTAAAAGCGCCGCCGCGTCACCCGAAGGGTAGTCAACATCATAGTCCTAGGTATAGTCATGGCTAAGGGTCTTGTCACCTCTAGGGACATGGTCTTTGTCCCTGACATGTCAGGGGTCATGTCACCTTGCCGTAGTGGTCACGTCATCGTACCATCATGTAACTCACCCACCACCATGTAGCCTATAAATATGGCATTTACTCCGGTGGGTGAAGGAGATCGGATTTTTCAGACTCTATCTCTAAGATCATCACTTTCTCTCACTAAATACACACTCTCTCTCAACTCTATCTTCCCTCTCATTTGTCTGAAAGTTCTTGTTCAACCAAGCCGTTCATTCTTCTCGACCCATTCTAGCGAACCTCACTCCTACACTTAGTTAGGTTCCAACAAGATCGTATCACCACGCTCTGCTACGGCAATTGGTAAGTGCGGATTATTAATAATCCAACCGTCTATGAGATCCCCCAATTACGAAGTAACGTCTTCATTAGAATTTTTTTGCTTCATTTTTCACTTTAGACAATTACTAATGATTTTTCTCTTCATATCACTTTATGAATCTCTTTCATGAAGTTTGGCGATGAAATGTTAGCTAAAACAAATTGGAGTCTGAAAATAATATTTTCTTAAAGGGAGATTATTTTCCTAGAAAATCATTTTTATAAGTACGTGACTTTCTAAAGGACGATCCAGAATCAAAGATTGTCAATAAGTAGAGAAAAGATCTTTCACCTCATCGTAGACGATTCCTAATAGAAAAGGTAATTCTAGAATAGCAAGAGCTTGGCTCCACATAGTAGCTTCGACTCGCGGTAGAATTTGATGGAGGCTTTCATCATTGATATCTTTTGACCACTTCGAGAATGAGGAGCCAAAACTATCGTTGTGAAGGCAAAGACATGTTTCTCCATGTGAGACACTGTTTTCTTCTTAAATGTAGTGAATCATTGATTCAAATTCAAAGACCTGTTATGAAATCGGGCGTTTCTAGAGCGCGATTCCCTTGGGATTGAAGACTTTGAATTTCATGGTCAACTCCGGGGGAACCATAGTTGGATTTTCTATACGACTTCTTTTGATTATGCTTATCTAGCAAGCATTAAGAGTTTTTTCAAGTTGGGGAAGTGATGGTGTTGGAGTTTCCTCAATGAAATTTGAGTAAATTGAGGACAATGGTCGAGTGGGTGGTTGAGGAGAAGTTTTGAAGAGGCCATATCGAACTCAAGTGTTTAACCTTATCGCACGAATTCCTATTGCGATTACTCGGAGAACGAAAAATGTTACACGTGCTTGTGCATACTCGTATACGGAGTTAGTTACATAAATATTGTTTTTTATTAATTTACCACAAATAAGGCGGGTTAAAAAGTATTGACACAGATATTGTGTATTTGTTTAGGGTTAGGGGCGGGGCCGCCAGAGACTAAGGCGGGGCCGCATTTTGAAAAATTAAAACGATTCAGAGGCGCTAGCGCCTGAGTCCGCAGTGCCCCCACCATCCACCACTCCTTTTCTTATTTAAAACCTAGCGGCCGAACCTCCCTCCTCTTATCTTCTTCATCTTCATCTTCCTCCACCAACACCACACCCCCCCCCCCCCCAACCGCTGCCACCGTCGCAAGAAGCCGCAAACACAGTGCCAGCACCGTAGACATAGCCGCCTACGCCACTGACAGAAGTGCCACCGCTGCAGATAGAGGCGCTAGCGCCTGAGTCGATGGATATGTCGTCCGACGAAGACGAAGCAGTCGCTGGCAGAGGCAGGGGGAGAGGCTGGCAAGGTCGTGAAGGCGGCGGCCATTTTCGTGGTGAGACTCTCGTCGGCGGCGGGGGATTTTTTTGGCGTTTTTTTAATTAATGTTTTGTTGCTTTTGCAATTCATAGGCTTATGGACCCTTATTCGATGAGACTACCGCCTGCGAAAATTGATCCAGCTCTGATCGATCCGGTACTTCTTTGGGGACATGGCCAACATCGTATCGACTCAGTTTAGGCAAACGAGGTAAGTATTTAATAATTATTCATGCAAAGTTAATTAGCTAGTTAGATTAGATTGTTTTAGTTGGTGAACTGAACTGTACGTAAATTAGAATAGAATTACGTATCAAATTAAAATTAGCTAGATTAGAATATACTAGGTGAAATTAGAATTATTACGAATGAAATTGAATTAATATAAGTTTTGTGCACTATAGGTTGGTGATCGACCTTATCATGTTCGAGGTACGACCATGTTAGTCACGTACCATGAGCGTTATCAGCCATATCTCGGAGCGGCTGGCTTGTCTAGTGTTTTGCCCCTGGTCCCTATGATCTCTGATGCGAGTTTGATAAATGTGCTCGTAGAGCGGTGGCGACCCGAGACGTCGACCTTCCATTTACCGTTTGGTGAGGTCACGAGCACGTTAGAGGATGTGACACTGTCCGGTCTGGTGATCGACGGTGATGCCGTCGTAGTTGACATACCGGATAAGGAGTGGCCGACGATCTGTTTGAGACTATTAGGACAGGTTCCAGATGATCTTTCAGGCGATGTTGTTAGGATTGTTTGGACGAGGGAGGAATTCAGTCATCTTTCGGCAAATGAATCCCAAGAGGTTACAGAGCAGTTTGCACGAGCTTATGCTCTATCTCTGATGGGAGGTGTACTGTTCCCGGATCGGTCTGGAGCTATAGTACACCTACAGTACCTACTTCTGATTGAGGATTGGTAGAGAGTTGGACGATTCGCATGGGGAGCAGCTGTTCTATCCTACCTGTACCGTGAGATGGGTAGGTCGGCTTTGCACATTACTCATTCCTCCACTTCTCTAGGAGGTGACCTTGGTGGATGGGTCGCCCTACTGCAGCTCTGGGCGTGGGAGCGATTCCCACATCTGACACCACGACATTCAGAGACGAGGGCGCAGATTGTCGAGGATGCATCTCCACGTGGTCTTCGATGACTTCTGGCCAACACTCGTCAGTATGGTGACCAGCTATTCCAGTACAAGTTGTGGTTTGACGAGATGGAAACCATGGTGGTTAGTATATAACATTTCATTTTATAGAATAGATTTCATTCTTTTTTTAAGATTTAGGGATAATAACTTGACCAATTTTTTTGTGTAGTGGCAACCTTACATTGAGAGAGCAGTTCATCTCAGAGGTAGTGTGATACAGTCTGAGACGTTTCGAACAGTAGTGCCACTGATCTGCTTTTCAGCGGTGATGTGGCACCATCCAGACCGCGTGCTCCGGCAGTTTGGCATGAGACAGCATGAGCCTCATCCGCCACACATCTTGAGGCTGAGGTTAGATTTTTTTCTATGTTAGACTACTCGTGGGACATCGCGTGGCTAGCAGTTGGTACATGCCTCCAGAGAGTCGCTTGCTTTCTGGAACTATCGACATGAGTTCGTAGCGACGGCTCCATACAACGATGAAGTTTTAGCCTAGCACTCCTTTATACTTTCCAGTAAGAAATGTTCCATCAACAACCATGACTCCTGGACAATTCTTGAATCCATCTATACAAGGTCCATAAGCCCAGAATACTCGCTGAAAGATCGAATGACCTGGTTGAGCTGAAGGAACTCTTACCCAATCAATCACTGATATTGGCATTTTTATCTTTACCGCCCGCAAGAATGTTTGCAAATAATCGTAGGATTCTTCCCAATTTCCATGCAACTTCTCCAATTCTCTTTGTTTCACATACCAAGCCTTCTTGTAAGTAACTTGCATATTAAACTTATCTTTCAACTCGGTTTGCACAGTTAGAACACTCATATTTGGTTAGGCACGTACCAAATGTTTGACGGCCTCAGATATAATATCGACATCAAGATGGCGATGATCCGTCGGTTGAGTCGTGCTGCTACAAGAATGCACCAACTCGGCCTTTCTGATAGTCCATTCGCTTCCAACATCTCGACATCCAAACCGCACCATCCAAGGACAATTGTCATCCTTGTGCTTCAATCATCTGACCTTCCAGATTGAAGGTGACGACTCCACCACACCATATTGAAAGTTGCGTTGTAGTGTGTGGTATTTAATCCCCACCTGTGCAGCTTGTTTCAAGTGAAATATCTGCCCCTTGTAGAATTCTCCTTCAAAGCTACCAACAACAGGCATTGGAATTACGCCATATGAATCTACATATGATAATTCGTCGTCCTCTTCATTATCCTGCAAGTAAAAATATGGAGGATAATTAGGTTGCTCTCCTTCGCCATCTTCCTCCTCCTCTTCTGCATCATCCTCCTCTCTGTCAACATCGTCATGATCGGATGGCATGCTCCATGTATCTTCTTCCTCTCCATCCTGATTCTCACAGAGCTCAACATGTATCTCAGCACCCAAACAATAAGGGTTTTGTGCGATAAAATTGAAAAGCACATTCAAACTATCATCATCCACAATTGGCATTGAATAATAAAATAAAACATCATTCTGCCATTCTGGAAGACGGTAAGTGAAACCTGTGATAACATCATTCTGCCATTCTGGAAGCCATTTTTGCAGCAGCAACTAGAGCTTCTCCTCCTCAAACTTCTTTGATTTTTTTGTGGTGAACAACTGAAACAAAATTCGCTGGTTTTATAGGGGGGTAGCCAGCAATATGCCAGCGGACCCGCCATAGTCCTGGGCGCCATCACCAGGTACAATTTCCCACAACACATCTCCGTCTCAGGCGGTACTGCCTCAGCCGCTGTAAACTTTAATTAAATGATAAGAAAAAAACAGAAACGGCGGCGGCGCCTGAGTCTCAGGTAGTCTCGCTGGTTTTGCTCTCCAAAACACAACATATGTGTCAATACATTTTAATCTGCCTTATTTGTGGTAAATTAAAAAACAATATTTATGTAATTAACCTCGTATACGGTGGTTGAAGACAATGTGGAACGTGAAGAGGAGAAGAGATGGAAATTAATAATTATAATGTTGTTAACTTTTTTAATTGACATGTCATAACTACGGCCAAAGTAGGATTGTTCACTACTTGAGTGTTCGTAGGATATGAAATTAGATGGAGTGTGAACAATAGAGAGACACATGGAAAGTTAGTAACCACTATATAATAAAAAACTAATAAAAATGTGTAACAATTTGATAAATGGAGTAAGCATTTATATAGTCATCAACCATAATTAAACCCTACACAGATGAGAAACTAAACTGGTTACCAAGTTTCTCTGTTGTGGAGATATATGTTGGAGAATATAACCCAAAATTGAAAATATGTTATTAAAATCCAAAAAACAAAAACAAAAGAGTTACATGTTAATTAAATAATTAAAGTACACTGTATTGTTTCTCATTACATCGCCCCACATTGAGAATGAGATAGATCTCGTAGATGAGAAAAAAATGTGAGATTGTCTAAAGTCAAGGGAACAGTAAAATTGATTAAACTTTATATACTAATAAATAAATATTAGGTGGCGATGCCGCGCCTTGGCGTGGGGAAGATGGCATATGAGCATGTATTATGTGATCCATAATGGTGCTTTGTTAGTATTATTATTCTAAAATTAATTTTTTGTTAGCATTTTTGTTAGTAGTATTGATTTGATAATATGATATTGACTAAGAAGAGATATATGACGTTCAACATCCAATTTAATTTTTTTTTGAAAATGTTGGCTAATAAATGATATTTACTTAAACCCAAGTAGACCCATTGATTATGGATAGAGTATAGGTGCCGTATATATGGGTTTGGAAGTTTGTAGATGAGTTTGGGTAGGGTGTGGATATTTACTTCCATAATCTAAATGTGTATGAATTGGGTATGGATACCCATTTATTCGAGTGTGTTTTAATTACACATACAAAAATTAGACCTATTTGTAGAACTTTAAAAGTTTAGGTACCAAAATGCAATGCACAAAATTTTTAGGTATGTAATGTTCTAACAATATTTTGAGGACTTATATGACAAAAAAATAAATTTATATTATAAATCTAAAGATCTATTAAATTTAGATACAAAAATTTAATCTGCATAGTTGAGGGTTAATTCCTTTTATGGTATGTATTTATGATGATAATTATTTAATTTTTTTATAGAAAAATGGAAACTATTTATTTGATATGTGTAGATGTCTAGCCAAACATTCCATGTATAATTGTAGAAAATTCTAGATTGGGTGAAAAAGAAAAACTCTAGAGAGAAGCAAAATGAATACAGACTGGAACTCGCCTAAAATTTCACGCCTTCAAATACCATAGTGGAAAATGGCAATTTTCTAATAAGTAATAACTATATATATTTATTTTTACTTGGACTCGCCATTGAGCTGAAAAAATTAGTGGTTCATGGTTCAATTATAATTCTCTAGACTGTTGGTGAGTTGTGTATGGACCCGTTCATACTAGTGATTAGAATACATAAAAATAGTATATAGGAGTAGACGAAGAAAGCAAAGAAAGGGATATGGAAGGCGAGTGAAAAATGAAACGAGGAGGAAGTAGATGATGGAAAGATTTTGACCAAATCTTTTAGTTGACCGTCAATACAATAGTTAACCCTTTTCGCCGTAATAATTTATTGATACTTGCTTATTCAGATGTCTAGGGGTGTGCTGGACAGGACCAGATCGAGTATAATGCAGTCCGGTTCTTGGTCCACATGAATTTTGCAATTACTCAAGAAATGATGGACCGAACCGAACCAAATGGATTAAATGCAATGATGGTCCGGTCCAGACCGGACTGAACGTTGCACACCCCTATAGATGTCGCATATTTTGTTACATGTAGTTAGTAGAAGTTTGTTTAGCATCCCGTAAATGACTAAATGATTATATAAATTTGCTCTTACAATATTTCAGAGTTGTCTCTATTATATCATCTATTTAATGTTTCACGTAATAAGCAATTATAAAATGGTTGAATCTTCTCCTACAGTTGAGTGATACAACATCTTGTATGATACAATTTATACTTTTATATTATGGTGGATTGGATTCTTGGATTCAAGTGAAATCAAGACATTGAACCAATATGTAAATTAAAAAATTGTACGTACCAAAATCTCATATAATTTAGTTATATAAACATAAATTTTCAATCATTTTACATTAAAATTAAATTTGGATATTAAAATGTAAAATGTTATAGTAACCAATTTGTAATTTGTTAGACAACGGTAAAACTACTTCAGCTTTATGTATAAGAAATAGATTGGACATTGAGCTGTAACAGTTGGTGGTTCATGGTTCAATTATTAGTTCTCTAGACTGTTGGTGAGTCGTGTATCGACCCGTTTATACTTGTAATTAGAATACATAAAAATAGTATACTAATTTGGGTTAGACGAAGAAGGCAAAAAAAGAAATAAAGAAAGGGTTATGGAGAGCGAGTGAAAAATGAAACGAAGAGAAAGTAGATGATGGAAAGGTTTTTACCAAATCTTTTAGTTGAACGTCAATACAACGGTCAACCCTTTTCATTGTAGCAATTTATTGACACTTGCTTATGTAGATGTCGCATATTTTGTTACATGTAGTTAGTAGAAGTTTGTTTAGTACCCCGTAAATGTACTAAATGAGTTTATAAATTCGCTCTTTTAATGTTTTAGAGTCGTCTCTCTTTTATCATTTATTTAATGATTCACATAATGAGCAAATATCTAATGATCGAATCTTCTCCTACAGTTGAGTGATACAACATCTTGTATTATACAATCTAAATTTATACTTTTATGTTATGGTGGATTTGATTTATGCATTGGTTCAAAAGGATTGGTGGATTGGATTCATGAATTCAAGTGAAATCTAAACATTGGACCAATATATAAATTTAAAAAATTGTACGTACGAAAATCTCATAAAATTTAGATACCAAACATAATTGTTCATGATTTTACATTAAAATTAAATTTGAGATATCAAAATATAAAATGTACATTATGGTGACTAAGCTGTGATTTAATTAAATTTGGAGTATGAAAGTTCAATTAATTAGACAACAGTAACCCAACTTCAAATTTATATATATTATAAATTTTAGTTACTTGAACTTTGTTAACATTTCTTACCATTTCACATGAATTATGAGCGAACTCGAACTACGTACTATCAATACTTGATTGGAAGTTGAAGTTGAATTCCAACCTACCGTAAAAGTTGATAGAATGCTTTGAATACGTTATCTAGCGGTAAAACTGGTAGCATGCACTAGCATTAACGAACTACAGGTATAGCCTTACTAGCATAAGAAGTTGCTATGATTTGAAGTAGAATTAGATGTCGTTAATTAGCTAAGACTCATCATATTAGCGAATCATGTAAATCTGTGTTTTGTACTTTTTCACCTTATCGATTTCTTGTATTTAGTCATAACTTAAAGATTGAGATATAGGAGAAATTGTCTTCAGTGCTTGTTGTTCTGAGCTCCAGCCGATTCAATGTAATCTTTGTTTTTTTTTTCTTTTTTGGGTAGTTTCTTGAATTTGTAGGTTGGTGCCTCCCTTTCTTTAGAGTAATATACGTCGAGGAAGTTCCATTGATTGGGCACTTGCATTGTTCCTGTATGGAGTTTTCCTTTGTTGTTCAGTCGCATCGCCTAATTTCATGGTCATTATTTCCAGCAATAGTGATTGTTAATACTGGATTCCTATTTAAATAGTTCAAAGAAGAATGTCAGTACCTAATCTCTCTTACAAAGCCTCACGCGACAAAATTAACCGTATTGGGCATCAAAACAGCGAAGAATATCATTTGGCAGATGTAGGCAGTGTTTGGAAGAAAGCCGCTTGTTCAGATATATATGTTGACACTTTACGTATTGTGACATATTCGGTATTCCTACAATACTATTGGAGTATTCAGGTTGAATGGGTTTAGCAGTGTGTTAGGAATATTTTGAACATGTATTGTGAATGTCCACAATGGATTCATGTTGTGAATATTGTTAAGGCGTGTCGTGAATACGTTTAGTGTGTCGTGCATGTTGTTCCTTAAAAATTATAAGTTACGTGTCCTAAATATATCGATATAATTAAATGCAAAATTTAGAACAAAATTCGCTTATTTACAAGATTTCGTAAAAAAATCATGTTTCTGTTGTTTTTACTTTATACACAATGAAAGACGATATTATTCTTTTTCTAATCATTTACTGAACATATATATTTTTAATTATTTAATAATTTTTATTTTTAATAAATTGAGCGGAAAAATTTTTAGGGCCACATTTTTAATTTTCGAACAGGACCTCTGAATATTATGGGCCGGCCCTGGAGTTGTGTAGCAGTGATTCCTATTTTTAGATATTAGTATATCCTAACTATTTTTAAGTAGTGATTTTTATTGTAATTAATAATTGGTTTTTGTAACTAATAGTTTTTATTATTTTTAATAGTGATTCCTACAATAATTCGACAATCACTACTGATTAGAAATCGCTAAAGCATAGTTAAATGAAAAAACTATATAATATAATAAAAAAATTACTATGAAGTCACCAAAACTGCTACTAAGGTTAAAAGATTGTGATTTCATATTTTTTTCCGTAGAGAATTTTTTCACGTAGAAATTCTCTGTGAAAAAAAGGTAAGAGATACT